CACACGTTATTACAATTCTCTATAAATTATTTGATTAGATCTAGAAAGTGAATGTTGTTCCTATATTAAATCATTCATATCATATTGTAAAGCTATAATTTAAGAAGTCGTTGACTGATCTTGAAATATGTTAAATTATATTGAACAAGAACTAATTTTACATATTATTAAAATTCATGAAAAATTTAATAAAAATAAACGTCAATAAATGATTTTAATAAAATAATAATAAATTATGTCTTTACTATTACTCTCGATCAGATCGATGGAATGCCCAATAAAGAATGAGTATGACTCAGACCAAGGAACTTATTACCACGTGAAATTCACTGGCTGCTACATGTTACAATATGACGCGTTTAGTCATAAACCTATTATTTATAAGTGCTATAAAATGATTCTTATCAGAATCAACATACAATTGAAGCTTAAGTATAGTTAACGACACTATAATAAATGGTACAATCTTTTGGCATACTTTGCATATTATTTCAACTAATTCAAATGAAAATAAAATAAATTTAAAAAATGTAATACTAAAACGTTCTCAAAAACGAACTTACTTACACCTGACTGAACCTTGATCTGGTATTTTGCCAATAATATTCATCAGCAGAGTTAGAATAACTATTTATTTAATGTATCTCTTGTAAAAAAAAAATTTACCTTCATTTCCTTGTTTATTCACTTCATTGATTGTTTATATATTGTTTACACCTTTGCCAGGGTAAAGACTCAGATGATCCTTTTTTACCCCACCCATATGTAAGGTCTTTATAGGTCTCGTAAACTAAAGAACAGTGATCACAACCAAATAAAACTAATAACAAAATAATATACTTCTGTTATGGATTTTCAAACATTGCCGTTTATCTCTCAACAGCAACGTCGTATGAATCAAGGTGATAGCTTGTTGTTCATCGTTTTCCCTCTACTTTCAAATATTGTTGCTAAAAAATACTTAAGTTTACTTGGTTTTGAGATACTAGTGGTCGACTATTTTACCGGCGGACATTTTAGCCCCGCTCTACCCTAAATAAAATTTGTTTTTTCTGATGTATTCAATATGAGATACGATTTAAACTTGAACTTTGAAACTATCAAGTAAAAAAAAAGCTTTTGGGCCTCGTCATGAAATTTAAATTGTTATGTTTGTCGTAATCAAATAATATAAAAGTAAGTCTGAAAAATAAGTGATTATTGTCATTATCCAAAAATAACAAACGTTCTATTGAGATCAATTTTGATTGATAAATAAAAAGTTGAGGTTTTAAATTTTCATCATCATCATTAAAGATTGATTAATAATATTTAAACCCAGAATATAATAGCAAACAGTTTACACTGAATATTTAGATAGTTATTTTATCTCATACGACTAATGTCGTTTTCATTGACAAGAATGGCAATTTCATTGACAAGTTACATTTATCAAGGAAGAGATTCCCAGATATAGTCATAAACACCAAAACAGGCTCACCGCCCACCCAAATATCCTTGCAAGAAAGCTGCTAGGATAAACATACATCAGAAGATTAAAAAAAAACCTAATGACTTGCTTTAGATTTAAGAAATTTAATAACTTATTTTAGATTTTTTTTAAGTACTAACTTTTTCCCGATCCTCTCTTTTAATTGAAGCCTATTCCTAAACACTGTGAAGAACTTAATTAGCTTTTTATGACTTTACTGAATTTTCTCAATTTGATTTCAATAACTATTTTCTTGCATAAACCTTATCATTTATCTATGTAGTCTGACCATTTGATCGTCTGTACAACCATGTGTTGTTTTTGCTATTTTATTAATTTAAATTTTTACGGTTTTAAATGAGTATAACTTTCAACCTTGTGCAAGAATTTTGAGCTTGACTGGTGGTCAAATAGACTTTAATATGATGAACTTGATGATGGACATTGTATTTAATGTTCGAATGCTTTTTTCTCAGCTCTTTTTTTCAGAAGCGAAATTTGTGCAGCTATTATGATTATTATAAAATTACTATCCGTTTAATATTAATTATGAATAAGCTTGACAAGAGCCTGAAATAATATCTATTATTATTGATTACGGCTTGCTTATGAATAAATAAATAAATACATCAGTGGATGCAGTTCTTAGTTTTACTGTATTCTATAAATATAATTATTCTATTGAAATAGATATAATTTAAAAAATGGCAAAAATAAGCAGGTATAAAACACAATATTTAGGCAGATTTTCAAAACATTTCAAAGAAAATTTTTCTTTTAAACTTAATTAGGTGAGCCCTAATAGAATTTCTGTAGTTATACTGTCGATAAAAATTAAAGTAGGTACACGTTTCCGATTGAAAATTTTAAAAAAATCTTGTTCTACCAACAGCCAAATTGAGTGTAAATTTACTAAAATTTGTGAATTTTCAATTATTGAAGCGATTCCACAGGTAAATAGTTGAACAGACCTTTTGAGTCTTCAATCTTAAAAGTGCTAGTTCATGAAAATTATGAACTTTAAATTTGATGACTCTAGCATATGTTCGTATCAGATCAGAACAATGTTCGTAATACCTTCAGAACATACTATCGGCAAGGGTCATAAATTTTAAGAAAAATACGACATTACCAATTCCACTTATCATTCATAAATTGATAGAAGAATGTCAGATTCCAACTAGCAAAATACCATATAGTCGGTGGATGACGCGAAGCCGTGCGCCCACACGCGACTTTGTAGTCACGGACAACCTAGGAATTTATCGATTACACTTATCAAGAAAATTCCAAAGACTTTAATTTTTAACTCACTTCATAAAATGACATGGACGAAATTTAGTTAGTCCTTTGAGAGACAGAAATCACTAAAGCCACAATGAAAACACTTATTCAAAAATATCATTGACGTTTTTTGTATCGCACTATATCACAATTACTGAGAATTCATTACTGCACTAGCAATATTTTTTGTGTTTTTTCACTGATGAACTTATAGAGCTTTACAAAATTTTGTTTATGCACTGATGTATTCAAAAGCTCAGAGAACATCGGCACGCGACTCGTTCGAAAGACATTCGGCGAGAAACTGTGCGAACTCGTGTAAACTATATGTGTGCAAGCATCTCGTATCATAAAAACAGGGCTGTGTTAATGATTTCCCAAGATTCTAAGAAACTAGATATTTCAACTTAATCTTTTGATATCGGATAATACTATTAATTTTTCAATATTTTAAACATTTTCTAATTTTCCATTCACATTAAAGGGGTATCCTAGTGTAGAGGCAAGAATTTTAGGTCATTTATCAATGTTATTAATTTTAAAAATTAACAGTTGTTGAAGTGGGAGTCACAAAAAATTGGCACGTGGCGGTGTACACGATTGCAAGATTGCAACCCTCCTAGTAATCCGGAATAAAAAAATAACTAGTGGGGCGCATGGCATCGTGCCTTAAGCCAAATTGCTGGAACTTCCCGTACCAAAAATTATTATTATTTTTTAAAGATTAACATTTTTGAAAAAAATTACTCTGAAAAAATTAGATTTTTGAGAAACTATAAATTTTTGACAAAAATTTACTTTTTTTTTTGAAAAAAAGAGACTTTTTGAAGAAAAATTTATTTTGTAATATTTTGCAAATTCTGAACTCTTTTTCAAAGCAATCGTACTGCTTTAACTGCATAGAGACAAAATATCAAAGCGCGTAAGCGACGCGTCGCCGTCTAACGGATAAACATTGGTACGTAACCCATAGGAATGTAAACAAAATGTATACTTATTGTTAAAATCTCTATAAAATACCTGATAATTTGATGTCTAATGATCATTTTGACCGCCAAATAGCATTTTTTTTACTTTTTTTACTGGATCTCCGAAGCCGCTAGACCTGCCTTCATGAAAATTTGATCAGTTTTTCATCTTGTTAATACAAGTAAAATGTTTTTTGAATTGTTCAAATCGGACGCTCCGTTCTCTTAAAAACTGAGTTACCGTTTTAGGCACTTTTTGCCCCATATCTTCGGAACGGCTAGACCGGCCTTCGCCAAAAACTAATCAGCACGTCTCCTTATCAATACGAATCGAATGTTTTTTGAATTATTCAAATCTCTTAATCCGTGTTCCCGAAATCGTCGACGAATATTTGTATCCGCACTCACACATACACGCACTCACACACATACATCCATTTTTTCTAAGGCATGCCAAAATGTTCAGAAGGTTTTGAAACGGGAAGTTAAAAATCTTCCTCCCAACCAATTTTATAACATTATTGACAAAGAAAAGGATATGTGGTGCACTATACAATTATATAAAGCAAATAAAATAAAAGTGTAAAGATTAATAATAAAATGTATTTGACTGATGTATGTCAACAATTAAACAATAAAAATAAAAAAAAAGATTATTAATCTATATTGATATCGCAAGGTATATACTAGGATTAAGTTTATTTTTTTTGAGAAAATGGCGACTATTTATAAAAAAGACCATTTTTACCACTTTTTTGAGTTTCTCAATTTTTTTAAAAATAGTAAAATTTAAAGTTGGGGATGGGGCTAGCATATGCCAGAGAGAAGTATATAAAGAAAGTTCTCTGAAAATTTCAAGTAAATCGGCCCAGTAGAACTCGTGAAATCGTGGACATCGTATTGAAAAAAACAGTTTTGAGAAAAACTAAAGTTCTAAGGAAGGATACAGAAGAGGATTATCATGGTCAAATAGCTGTATCACCAAAAATAATTTAAACTTCAAAAAATCTTCTCGTACACATATCTTGAACTGTTAAGCTTTGAAAATTCGAAAAAAACAAGAAAACGATTTTTTACAATTTCTTCACTAGAATATCCCCTAAATGTTTTTTTTTCAAATTCCAGGCCTGCTTTAGCAAAAACAAAGTTCGACGATTACAAAATATATTCATATTTAAAGTCAAATTAATAATATTCCAGGGAAGTGTCAGGATCACAGTTAATTGAGAAAAGTTGTGGATTAATTAGATACATTAAAAAATTCTGAAGTTACTTACGTTTATTGAAGTGAATAATCTCTTCCCACGGTAAACCTGCAATAAAACAAATTACTTTTCATGTATGCATTCTCAAATATTAGAATTGCTGAGCATAATATATTTATATGTTATTTATCAATTTAAATCGACAAAAACTGCAAACAAGTGGATTGATGTATGTATGTATGTATGTATGTATGTATATATGTATATATAAATATATATAAATATGTATATATAACAAAATAGAAGAAAATGTCTATTATAGTCTATTTGTTTAATTATTGGATATATATATATATATATATATATATATATATATATAACTGCATAAAACAAATTGCAAAGAAATGCAATTAAACTTTAAATTCTCATGGCCTGATATGAGAAACAATTTGATTTCATTGAAGAATTAACATCTGCATAGATGATTAAACCACTTTTTAGAGCAATTTTTAAAATCATAAACTAACAATTTTTGTATTTTCGTGAAATTATTGAATTTATGGTTTGAAATTATAAAGTAATAAAATAAACATAAGTGCGTAAAAATATATTTGGTAGATTTCTTTTTTCTCAAAAGAAATTTAAAAAATATGGTGAAAACCAATTGAATTAACTCATATGAGATAATATTGCATAATAAAGTGATAAAGTAATGAATAAAATAATAAAGTGATAAAGTAATACTAAAAAATCTATTTAAAATATATAACACCACTACTATACGAATGTTCATGGAATGAACTTAATTTTAATTTATGAAGGTTAAACTTTAATATATTTATCTTATATTTTTGCACAATAAAAGTATCAATACTATGAATAAACCATTTCAAGAAGGGTTAACTGAGAAAAGGATTAATGATTAAGTAAAATCAATATTAATAACTTAGTAAAAAAATAAGAAGTCAATACCTTAATGATATTTTTCATTAGGTAAAAAATCAGGTAAAACTATAGGTAAAATTAATCAAGTAAAATATTAAAAAAAAGAGTGAATAATTGGTTAAAACAAGCCATAAAAATTAAGAAAACCTTCATGACAATCTTAATTGGTAAATTTGCATTATAAACGTTGTATATATATTATAAATATATGAAAGAAAAACGTCTAATCCCTGTATGCTTGCTTAAAAAATATATCCACTACATTTTAGCCACCGAATTTTAAAAAATGTGTAACAATTGCACAACTAATTGCATTATAAAAGTTTGCAGGTAAGAAAAAAGACTGCAAAAAAAATTATTTAGCTAGCATTTTGTGAGCAATGAATAACTATATTTTAAAAATAGTCAAAAATAGTTACGTGAAGAAAAACAAAAGCTAATAAAATAATAAATTTCACTTATTTCCCATTCAACTTTGAGCATATCAAAAATTACTGAAAACATCTTGGTGATTCATACACGATTCCCATGGTCACAGCTGATTACGATTAATGAAACGAAAACAAAGAGTTACGCAAATATTAATTAAGGAATTTAATTTGACACTCAAGTATAACATATGTCAAAATAGAATCTGCTTTTATTAATATACTATACTGCTATAAAGAAACAATAACAAGTTGGCGCTGGCGCATAGTAAAAATCGATGATAACTTACTTTCGAAATGGAATGACATATGTAACTTTGCACAATTTTCATGAATATATTTCATATAAATATAAGAGCACTATTACGTACAAAACTAGGATATATCTAATAGAGTAAATAAAAATATATGAAGTGTTTAATCTTACAAAACGTCAAATGGTAATTAGAACGTCAATATAGCAACAAAAAATATATCGCCATTTTGGTTAATTTTGACGGATCCAAATAGTATTCAAATAAACACCAATAAAATTATATACACTTGCTCATGCATTTGTCACTTTATATACTTTTACTAATTTCTGTATACTTACAATTTATTAAATCACAAATATTAAAAAATATAGAACATTTATCAAAAATGACGCACCACTCAAAAATTACACACTAACATGAAGTTTAAGCTATGGGTGATGAAGTTGAAGTGTTTCTCTAAAATATAACAACATGAAAACACTAAAAAACTATTTATATAAATTTCTTAACTAAAATGTTATTAAAATGAAAGCATGATTGTATATATGTTTATTATATTATTGTTTTTATGAGGGCTACTCATTATTTTACAATTTTGTACAAAAATTGAATGAAATGGCAAAATGTCAATTTCTGCTATGTTGCACAAACTGGATTAAATAACGTTCCCTCCTTTATGTGGTTATGTCGATTTTCAATTGTCAATTTATTATTATTTGTTTATATTTAATATCAAGTTGTTTAATATGGCACAGAAAAGCATAACGTGAGAATATTTTTTTTATATCATATTAAAACTATTTGTTCTAAAAATAACATTTATTTTAGGTCATTTTTCTCAAGAGCTCCAGCAAAGCCAAAAGAAAATTTGCAAAAGTAAGTTGTGCAAAATTATATTTACAGATATGTTTTCTGTACGTCTATTAAACTCTTTAAACATATATATGAAACATAATAATATTTATAATTTTATAATTAAGTCGAACTTTTATTTTAATAAACCTTCTATATCAACAATATGTGTATTGAAATATAGCACAACACAGAAGCGGAAACTATCTTCCAGTGAAGAAGAAAATGAATCAGAAAAGTAAGAATAGTAGAATCTAAAATAATTTTTTTTTATAGGAATATATTGTACTATTTTCTTTTTTAGAAATGGAACCAAGAGTAAGAGTGCTTCAAAACGTGTCTGCTCAAATGAGTTCAAAATTCAAAATGAAAAAGACCATGATTGTGATAGCATATCTAAAGGTAATTTACTTTTAGCATTATCTTAAGAATTTATTAAACAGATATTTATTTATTTATTTACTTACAGTTACTAAACATAAAAAATGGAATAAAATAGTTGATACAGATTCGTCCAGTGAAGAGGAAAATCGTAACACAGAAAACGAAATGAAAGCAGAGAGTGATGAAACTGGTCAAAACAAAAAGGTCAATAATTCATTTTCTTCAGATTCCTCAGATAAAAATAAAGAAAGTGGAAAGAAAACACCTAAATCAACTATAAAAACAAATAAGAAGACTCCAAAATCTGATTCAAAAAAATCTAAGGCAAGCACTAGTAAGAGCCCTAAAATAAAAATTGAGACTTCAAGTGATAAAGAGAAACACAACAAAAAAATAAAAGAAGCAATTTCAAGTGAACGAGACCAAATGAAAAAAAGCCCAAAGATAAAGATTGAATCTGATAAAGATGAAAATACAGAAGCCCTTAATGAAAGTATTTCTGATGAAAAAAAGTGTAAGATTGATATATTATTTCTATTTTTGTTAGTGATGATGATGTAATTTTATTAATATTAATCTACCCACACAGCACCTCCGGCTACTAAAACTACGCCAAAAAATACATTTTCTTTAAAGATTAATAATACAAATGATATTGAAAAATCTTACGATCCATCAGTATCATATTCAAAATATTTACCAGTTGAGCATGCTATATGGAAAGAAGGAGAAAAGTATGTAATTATTTATAGTACTTTAGATTATGTTATTTATAACTCATTTTTCATTTATTTATTTAGAGTTCCTTATTTGGCCTTGGCTAAAACATTGGAAATGATAGAGCAAACAAATGGTCGTCTGAAAATGATTGAAATATTATCAAACTTTTTACGTTCTGTAATTGCTTTGAGTCCTAATGATCTTTTGCCATGCATATATTTATGTTTGAACCAACTAGCTCCAGCATTTGAAGGTTTTTTTCCACTTTTGATTTTATCAATTAGTTGATTTATATAAATCGACAAAATCTTTACAATATTTATCTTGTAGGTGTTGAATTAGGAGTTGCTGATACATACCTGATGAAAGCTATAGCCCAATGTACTGGTAGAACATTAGCTCAAATTAAGGCAGATTCTCATTCTTTAGGGGATTTGGGAATAGTTGCAGAACAATCTCGTTCAAATCAAAGAATGATGTTTAAACCTGCACCACTCACTGTTAGGGGGGTCTTTGATAAACTGAAGGATATTGCCATAATGGGTGGAACTGCGGTAAATAAGTTATATCTCTAGATCAGCTGATTAAATCAATGAATAAAATTATTAATTATAAATTTTGACTAACAGCTCTTAAAACTATAATTATGTTCATTCATAAACCTCACTTTAATCAGATACTCTTGAATATTAAGTCTTTGTTAATATCAAATTTAAAATTTTGTAAGAAAAGTAATACACCAAAACAGTTTATTGATGAATTTTTTTATCTTCTATCAGTCCATGGCCAAAAAAGTGGATAAAATTCAATCCCTTTTTGTTGCCTGTCGTGGTTCAGAAGCAAGATACATAATTAGGTCACTGGCTGGCAAACTTAGAGTAGGTCTTGCAGAACAATCTGTAATTCAAGCAATTGCACAGGCATGCACTTTAACACCGCCAGAACAAGAGAGGCCTTGTAAAATATTAAATTCTTGTAAAAACAAATCTGCAGAAAGTACTAAGAGTACAATTGAAGAACAGACTTTAATATTGAAAACTACATACTGGTAAAAATATGTAAACTATTTAATAAATACATTCTGATTAAGTGATAATTTAATTATTAAGAATTTGATGAATTGTGATTTTTTATCATCACAGTGAATGCCCAAGTTATGATCGAATTGTACCTGTATTATTATCAACTGGTTTGAAATCACTTCCAACTCATTGTCAATTAAGTCCAGGGACCCCATTAAAGCCAATGTTAGCACATCCGACAAAAGGTATCTCTGAAGTTTTGTCTAGATTTGAAGGCCTTAAATTTACATGTGAATGGAAATATGATGGTGAACGAGCTCAGGTAATTTAAAACATTTTTACCTTTAAGAGATTTTTAAAACTGATGATTTAATTAAATAGATTCATATAAAAGAAGATGGGTCTGTGTACATTTATAGTAGAAATCAAGAAAATAATACTAGCAAATATCCAGATATATTGGGAAGATTAGGAAATACCAAAACAGAAAATGTTAAATCTGCAATTCTAGATTGTGAAGCAGTAGCTTGGGATCGTGAAAATAAAATAATATTGCCATTCCAAGTTTTATCAACTAGGAAACGCAAAGATGCTACAGAAGGTGAAATAAAAGTGAGTAATATATGTATTTATGACAAAGTTTACAATGAATTTTTATTTGTTGCTTATTCATTCTTTGAAAAGATTATTGATATTTAATTGTAGAATTTAATATATTTATATTTTGCTTTGCAGGTTCAAGTTTGTGTGTTTATGTTTGACTTACTGTATTTTAATGGAGAGTCATTGGTGCGCAAGCCATTCAGCAAACGACGAGAATTATTGAAGAAGAACTTTAATGAAGTGCCTGGTGAATGGCAACATGCTACATCTCTTGATACGAATACAATAGATGAGCTGCAAATATTTCTTGATGATGCTATAAAAGGTAAATAGTTAACTTATTAGAAAAGTATTTGGTATAAAAATGTATCTTTATTCATTAAGGAAATTGTGAGGGATTAATGGTAAAAACTCTTGATGAAGACGCCACTTATGAAATTGCCAAAAGATCTCGAAATTGGTTAAAGTTAAAGAAGGTAAATGATTGCATTTCAATTTTATTGTCATCAGTAACTCTCAATTTTATTTTATATTTTAGGACTATTTAGCAGGAGTAGGAGATACGTTGGATGTTGTTGTTATAGGTGGATATTTAGGTCGAGGTAAAAGGGCAGGTGTTTATGGTGGATTTCTTTTGGCATGTTATGATGTTGATAATGAAGAATATCAAAGTATTTGCAAGGTATTTTCAATTTAACAATTTGGCTCTACCTGCTATCATATTAGAATTATTTGTTTTTTGTAGATTGGAACAGGTTTCAGTGATGAAGATCTTCAAACACATTCAGAATTCTTTAAAAAACATGTAATTGATTCACCAAGATCGTACTATCGTTATGATAATCAACATGAACCTGATCACTGGTTTGATGCAGTACAAGTATGGGAAATAAAATGTGCTGATTTGTCATTGTCTCCAGCCCACAAAGCTGCAATCGGAATTGTGAGTTTATACTTATAACTGCATATTAAAGTTTTAGAATATTATTGATGTCTGAAATATTACCTTGAATATCCTTTATTTATTGAAAATTCATATATTTTTCCAAGTTTTTTATGAATGAGTAATTCTCAATCATTTCAAGGACACAATACTAATATTTTGAAAATAATAATTATATAAATAATTCAAGTGAGAAGCTACATCACTATTTCTAAAGACGTTAGATAATACATACAAGTATAAAAGGACTTGAATTTTACTATTTCTAAACTGTCTAATGATGCACTAAGAATAAAAAAACGTGTATACTAAATTTCTAACATTCAAAAAAATTAAATATGTTATTAATTAACGAAGTAATCCTTTAAAATCTAAATGTTATGTAAATGCTAATAACTTCCAAATTCTTTATAGGTTGATCCAGAAAAAGGTATTTCTTTGAGATTCCCTCGTTTCATTAGAATACGTGATGATAAAAATATAGAAGATGCAACATCATCACAACAAGTGGCAGACATGTATCAATCACAAGATCAAATAAAGAATGTTCAATCATTGAATACAAAAAATGTAGAAGAAGATTTTTATTGATAAAGTATTTATTCTTAGTACTTTTATATCAACAATTGGATTTTAATGTTAAAATATTTTAAAGTTGTTTTACATTGCATCACTATATTTAATTTTTTCTATTACAATTATTAAAATAATTTTTGTACATACCATTAGCTATAAATTTATTGTACATTAAAATAGCTTCTGAAGTTTAATTTTGTCTTCTTCATCTTTTTGTTTTTTCAGCTGATCTATTTCTTTACAATACTTTAGTGCTATAGATTGCAATCCGGGATCTAGTTGTGCACTTTTGATGAAATCAGATTTTGCTTCTTCAGGTTCCCAAACTTCAAGTAGAGCCCTAGCTCTTCGAAATAGTGCTTTAACATTGGCTAAAAAAATAACTGATTAAATAAAGATGAAGGTTCCAAAGCATTGTGTTTTATTTAACAAGTGATTCAATATTTTGATTAGGTGAAAATTAAACAGATATATAAAAAAACTAAACTCAAAATTTCCCCTGCTTAAATGATAAATATTTTATCAGTATTACATAATATAATATTTTAACAAGACTCTTGAAAACTCACTGGGTTGTGCTTCTAAAACTTCATTACAATGTTGTATTACTTCATAATAATCTTCTTGTAATAATTTGCATTGTGCATAATTTAATAGAATTGGAAGCTTCATTTCCCGCAATGCTAACCATTCAGTGTCCCTGGGTTTCTCCCTAATGAAAAATTTTAAATTTAGTTTGTAAATGTGCATGATCATATGAATATGGAATAAATTACTTCAACATGAGTTGTTCTAATATTCCAATTGCTTTAGCATATTGGGCACAAGCCTCTTCTATCTTCTTTTCTTGATATAATGAATTTCCTTTTTCTTTTAATACTGCCACAGATTTAATCTTTTCATCCTCTGATAATTGCCAAGTGTCTCGTTCATAGTCATCAGGGTTCTCAACTTTTATTAGTTCTTTTAAAAACACAAAACTTTGTATGTAGTGCAATTGCAATGAGAAATATATTGTAATAAATTGCATAAATAAATGTAATACAATGTTATTTTACCTATGGTAAACTGTAAATCAGTAGGATGATGTAATAATTCATTTAAATCATCATAACCAACGCCTGTATTTTGAACAGTCATTGCACAACAATGTGGACTTCTCTCCTCTGGTGCTTTACCAGCATCTCGAATTGTACGAGAAATAAAAGGATATTGATTAACTAACTGTAATTAATCTAAATTAATTTTTCATAGCTTAAAGCCTTTATGAGTGATTTCAGTTTCAGAATATTACACTTTTATCAACAGTAAATCGAGCCACTTCATTAATTGCCATTTTTTGAATAATTGCTTCCCAGACCTCTAATTTAAATTTTTTTCCAAGTACTAATTCCATAGGTTTACCTCCATTCACTTTTCTACTGTCATCAATCACCTTATCACACCCAACTTTCTTGGTTTCATAATGGAATGTTACCTAAAAATGCAAAACTTATTTGCTTTATAAATATAAGGAGTTTAAATATTAATAATAGACACGGTTTTCTTTGATCGCATTTGTATAAAAGTTGGAGATAGTAAATAGATTATTTAGATTTGTTTTCCTATTTCTTAAATATACATATTAAAATGGTTAATTAATTTTAAATGATTGATGCAAAAAACAAAATAACTTTGGAAATTTAATTTATAAATATGAGAAAGTGACTTCTTATCTATAACTTATTTGTATGTTCCTTCATTCATATGTTTACAAAATTGCTATTGATAATAACAACATGATTTTCATATGAGTTATACATGCTATTTTAATTAAAAATTGCCTGAATTGAAACTTCTTTGTAATTATTTCTTTCTTTCATTGTACAGTACAGAACTATACATAGAAATGATCATACAATCACTATTCAGTATACCAATATAGATTTAATCACATTAAACTTTGAATAGAATTTATTTAAGATTATTTTTTCACTTAAGTTCACAATCATTAATACCTTTGTGCCTTCTTTAAATGTTGCAGATTTTGTTCCAGAACTCAGAATGACTTTTTCTATCAGCGGTTTCTCTGACATTGTTTAGTGTCTAATACTCTAGTTCAGTAATAATTTCAAATTTAATTTTAATAATGTTCACTCGCCCAATTTGTAAGATTTTATAACTAAATATATTTAAAACAATTATTTTTCTTTTCAATTCACATTAAATATTCAAACAAGACCATATACGTACAAATAGTTATAATTTGTATTGCAAAGGATTTTGGTTCATTTTTGCGGCGTTAACTATAAAATATTATAGTAATATATTCAATTATTGAACTTATTTTTTTTATATTTTGACGTTCATGCTATGAATATATGGGTATGTCACAATGCATTCCCAAAAATCTTTTTGACAATTGAAGTGATTGAAGTTAGCAAAAAGAACCATGGCTGCCATATTATTGAGCAATTTAAAGCGCGAAATTCAAACAGAAAATTTAAACTTTGCAAAAATATTTATATTCATCAAAATATAAATTATAGTGTTTAAAGTGATTTAATCAAAGATAAATTTAAACTATAGTTGAAATATAATATGATAATATGAAATATAATATGATAATTTAACTATAGTCGAAAATAAAAATTTAAAATATTTTAAGCCAACTCTTTACTTTTTTATTATTATTTAGACATGGTTTAGAATTATTTCACAGCGTTACCAAAATTCGGTGTGTTGAAATCATAAATTGAAAACAGATATTGTTTTTATTTAAAAGATATATTTATTTTTTTAATGTTTATAAAATCATTTCCAATCCACTATCAGCTGGACTTTTCATGCAAACCTATTTTAGAACCATCGATCAAAGCCTTCTTGCTGCTGATAGTCTCAGATTGATGAAAATGTTTTGCTGTGCGCTTTCTAATATCTTCAACATCTTCTTCTGCAGCTGCCCATTCCAAGATTAATCTCCGACCGTACAAATGTGTACTTTGGCACAGAGATTCAAATGCTTGCTAAATAAAAGATAATTTTAAAATAATAGAATATAAACCTCAAAATATAATTAGTACAAATAACAAATAACATCTGATTCAGTTGTCCGAATAACATTATTGCAAGACAATACAAATATGTATTCAAATAAATTACCTTTGCATCAGATTTAGTATGATAGTCCACGAATGCAAATCCTCGGTGCTGATTTTCCCCAGGAGTCATCTTTTTAGGCAATCTAAGTGCTTTGATTTCTCCAAATGCTCTGAAATAATAAATATATATATATATATATATATATATATATATATAATTATATTATATATATATATATATATATATATTTATTTATTTATTTATTTATTTATTTAAACATATAATATATATGGTTATACATACTGAAATAACTGCATAATTTCATTCTTATTAGCTTGAAATGGTATATTCCTAACTAAAATTTTTGTTCCTGTCTGATCAGCAGTTTTGTTTACTTTTCTACTGGTCTTCTCTTCATTTTTGAGAATTCTGTCTGACCGTTTTAACTCCAGTGATTTACCATCTAACTGCATTTGTTGCATGTTTTTAATACAATTGTCAGCACTAGATTTATGCTTAAATTGAATGAATCCATAACCCATAGATAAACGCTGCCCAGGATTGTTGGGATCTTTTTTTGTGGCAACTGTAACACAGTGAATTTTTCCACATTTACTGAAAGCCTGAAATGATAAACAAGAGATAAATTTTATCTATATAATAAAAGATTTATGAAAGAAAATATGAAATTAAAAAAAGTAAAACAAAATTTAGAACTGCTAATATAATTACAAGTTTGAAATTTATGTAAATTATGCTTCAATAAAAAGGATAATATACAAACATCTCTGATTGCAGGCTCTCTAGTCTCAAAGTTTAGATTTTTTATAAATAAGGTGGTATTTTCTTCGGGTTCTTCATCATCTACTTCTTCTGCTTGTGATGATGATACTTGCTGCTCATCCCCCTTCTTTTCAGGTTCAAGAGTATTTGAATTTTCCTCAGAAATTACTTCCTGTATTCTAGTATTAGTTGAAGGTTTAAATGGCTGCAAAAATGTATTCTCAGGAGCCCATTCTAAATATAAGGGTAAATTTTTAAATTTAGAATAAGCTAATTTTGTGAATGCTGTGCGTGCTTCTGATGGTTCAAGAAACTCTATAAGGGCAGTCAAGCCATTTGGTGGCATTACAATTCGTCCAAGATGGCCAAATTTTTTAAACATATTTGTTATTTCGTAACTAGTGGTGTTTGCAGGTAAATTTTTTGCTAATATTATGGTTTTAGATCTAGATACCGACGGCTGAAAGATGAACACGCATAAATTAAATTAAATCTTAATATTTTATTACTTACAAACAGCATAATTAAATTGCAATAATTACCCTATTGAAAGCATCAAGACACACGCCACTATCTTCTAAAAATTTTTTCATGTTAGCGACTATTTCTGTTTCTCCCAAAGCTAATCTTACAGCAGCATTTTCCTTTAATACATCTTCTTTAGATGTGCCATAACTTGATGCTACAACATCAGCAACTGCGTTTTGGCCCAAAAACAGTGTATTCCAGTTATGAATGGATCCAGAGCTTTTCTTTAATTTTAAAGCTTTTTTCTGCTGAAATGTTAGCCCTTCTGTGCTCTCATCGGGTGTAGGTTTTGCCTTGCCTGGCAATAAATGTAACATACGTCCAGCAAATACAGTGCCGTCAAGTTCTGAAAAGGCTTTTACTGCATGCTCTGGCATTAAAAATGTAATAACTCCAAATCCTTTTAACTTTCTAGTTATTTTATCAATAGGTAAGTTTACCTCAGAAATTGGTCCATACTTTTCAAAATGTTTTTGCAATTCATCTTCAGTAATTGTATAAGGCAAATTTCTTACAAATAAACGACCTGATTCAGAAATATCTTCTTCTGATTTTAGAGCATCTTCTTGTTGCTTCCATTTTCTATTAGCTTCTGTAGCATTATTAGAATCTGTATTTGCATCTGAATCTTTTTTATGATATTCATATACAAATAGTTGTTTTCCAGATAAAAAACTGCGATCTTTATTTAATGCTAATTTCATATCCTTTTCAGTTTTGAACCCAACATAAGCAAATCCTTTTATTTTTGGAGGTAGTCTGATCGTATAAGGAACTAATGGTTTGAAAAATGCTTTAACATCTTTCTTTTTCATAGAATATGACAATCCTTTTACTTTTACTGTAAACAAATCCAATTTTTCTTTAACTTTCTTAGCCATTTTCTCTCTGGGTTTAGACAAAGGTTTAATTGCATCTTCTGTTTCAGAAAAATTTTTATTCATTAAAGACCTCATGTACTATAAAACAATTATATATTAGAACTTAAATATTAATACAATTATAAACTATATTAGCAAAACTCACTTCCAGATCGCTAATTTTATCATCAACAGCAATTTTCTCTTTAGGCGTTTCCCCACAATTATCTTTAATATCAGAATTATCTACATCCTGGGAAATAGGTAAATATTAATGTTTTTATTTAATCATAAAATACACTAACATACCTGCTCTTTTCCAGTTCATTCTTTCCCTCTGGTTCTTTACTTTGTTTTAATTTATTTAGGAAATCAGTAACGGTATTAGTACCTTGTAAAGATCTATTTCCTGTAGATGCATGGCTTTCCAAAAATTCAACAAATAATGGATCATCTTTATACTGCAATGTATTGAATTATGATATACAAGTTTGCACACACACACACATATATATATATATATATATATACATGGTCTGTTCAAAAAGTACCCGGAATTACTAATAATTAAATTTCGCGGGTCTGGAGTTTCTGATTGTCAAAATTTTTTTTTTATTGTGTTGGTATACATGCCCCTAAAGTATGATGAAATTTTCAGCTATATTCACTGTTTACTTTGTCTGTGGTAGTCGCTAAGGTTCGACGTGTTTTTCTGAGCTCGGCGATTTTTACAATGGAAGAATTGAAAAAGTCAAAGAATTTGTATTAAATTTTGCGTAAAAAATGAAATAAAGTGTTGCAAAGTGCAAAAATTCACCAGATATGGCTCCGTGTGACTTTTTCCTATTCCCAAAGTTGAAGAGACCCATGAAAGGACGGCGGTTTTCCTCGATTGAAGAAAATCGCCGAGAGTGCTCAAGGACATATCAAAAAGTGAATATCAAGGGTGCTTCGAAAATTGGAAAAAACGCTGGCATAAGTGTATTATATCTGGGGGGGACTACTTTGAAGGGGACCACATTAATGTAGACGAATAAATAAATATTTTTTTTAAAAAAACGAAAATTACGAAAACTTTTTGAACAGACCTCGTATATATATTAATATATATATATATATAATAATAAATATAAAGTATATACTTTTTCTATAATTGTTTTCTAACTCCTCTGCATGTTTTTTCTTAATGTCTTTTGTTGAGTTTAATTTATTATCATGCGACTTTATAACTTCCTTAACAATTTTATTTATCCGTTGAAAAGAACTACTATCTGCAGCATATTTACTCCATGATTGAGGCTTTTGCATTGTCACCTGCGATACAGATTCCATATATATAGATAATATTTTAATAATATAAATTTATTAAAACTCACCTAAAGCCGCACAGAGTTCGACGGTTATTTTAGAAGTATTTATACAGCTTTTATGAAAATACTTTACTGCTGCATCTGCTTCTTCAGGAGTTTTATAACCAACGAATGCAAATTGACGAAATATTCCATCTTTAGTATATTTCAATTGTACATCTGTGACAATGCCCTTTTCGCCAAAAATTTCTCGAAGTTTTTCTTCTGTTATCTAGAATTGAAATGTATCATAAATAAAAGATACATAAATGTTACATTTAGTGGAGTATTATTTTACCTTTTTTGGAAGATTCTTCACAATCAAACGTGACATCGTTAAAAATATTACTTTGTTAACATATATTTTTACAGTATATATAATTGTTATAAATTTTGTATATTATTATACATATGTATTTAATTGACAAAACACGTGAGATATGAGGTTAGGAACTTTCGTTACTGACATATCTCATTGGGTGCGTTCGACTTGGACGCTTACGCGCTGTGAGCGCTCACGCTTATAAGCACGAATTTTTAGCGTTCGACTTGGCCGATAAGCGCTCAGAATCGATAACTAAATTCCGTTCGTTTTGGAAACTGTGAGCGTCAATAAGCATCAAAATGGCGGCAACTGGCGGTAACGGTAATTGTGTAAATTTTATCACTTTCTGGATCATTCAGCGGGATTATAAAGAATTTAACAATAATAAATAAATGAAAATTTGGTTTGCTTATGCTTAATTCATATTAATATTAAAATTAAATTTAAAATTATTTAAAATTAATTAAATTTAAAATTAATTAATATTAATATTAATATTATATTAAAAAATAAATGTGATATACAACTTGGCATTTTTGCGCGATTATAAAAAATTTAACAATTAATGAATAAATGAAATTTGGTTAGCTTATGCTTAATTAATAGTAATATTAAAATTAAATTTTAAAATTATTTAATATTAATATTAATATTAAAAAATAAATGTGATATACAACTTGGCATTTTGCGGGATTATATAGAATTTAACAATTAATAAATAAATGAAATTTGGTCAGCTTATGCTTAATTAATAGGAATATTAAAATTGAAATTTAAAATTATTTAAAATTAATTAAATTTAAAATTAATTAATATTAATATTAATATTAAATAATAATTGTGATATACAACTTGGCATTTTTGCGGGATTATAAAGAATTTAACAATTAATAAATAATGAAATTTGGTTAGCTTATGCTTAATTAATAGTAATATTAAATTGAAATTTAAAATTATTTAAAATTAATTAAATTTAAAATTAATTAATATCAATATTAATATTAAAAAATAATTGTGATCTACAGCTTGCCATTTTTGCGGAATTATAATGAATTTGACAATTAATAAACAAATGAAATGACAGATAGTAAAAACAACTGACGCTCACGCTCACGCTGCCCTACCTCTGTGGCGTGAGCGTATGTGAGCGCAAAATATGTGCTACGAGCATCCTACGATGGTGCTACGAGCGTACTTATGTGACATCACAGCGCCAAGTCGAACGATGAAGCGCGCTCACGGCGCGCTCACAGCGCGTAAGCGTCCAAGTCGAATGCACCCATTGTAATTGATGAGATTGCCGCTAGGGACTGAGGCGCCAAATTTGAAATTAATAATTCTGTTTTTGAATAGCATATAAACTTAAAAATTAATAAATTTTTGTATATATATACAGATAAATAGCATAATAATCTCAAAATGGTATGTTTTTCAAATTTAAAGTTACAATTATCTATATTGTGCAGCAAGAAAACTTCTTGAACTGAGAATGAACTTAAAAAAGGAATTATTTATCTGTTCTAGATTAACCAAACAAGAACATACGACTTAGACTTTAGTATCAATATTAAACATGGTATGTAAATATTTTAATATGAGATTCTGATGAATTTATATGTTATACTAATTGAATTGAAAAATTCTCTTTGCATATATATGTTGTTTCTCCAGAAAGCACTTTTTATTAGAGTGCTTCTTCAATGTAATATTAATAACTTCTCCTGTTAAGTTAGCGCAAATTATCATTTAGCAAAATCAGTATTATTTTATTTTCGTAGTTTATTGTCTTTCGAATATAAATTTAAACATCTAGGAG